CTTTGCACAAAAAAGGTTGAAAAACACTGGACTAGAAGACCTCCAACGTTCCTTCCAACTCTGCTATAGCATAGTATAGCAGAGTTGTAAGGGACCTTGGAGGCATAGCATGCTATGCTATTCTGCAGTCTCTTGCTACTGAAGGTGGATACTGCAGCACCTAGAGATAGCAGAATAGAAGAGAAAGATCTGGAGAAAATCACAAGAATGGGGCAAGGACATTAACTTACCAGTGATATGATGAAGACTATGTTTGGAAAGAAAATATTCAGCATTACTCCTCTCTCATTCTCCCTTTCCCCTAAAACAGGGGTCCCCAATCCCTGGCCCACTACCAGGCTTTAAACGGTTCAGATCCGGACCATGGAAGTAGTGGGAGAGTACGCATATCCCCACTTGTGTGAACAAAACTGGAAAGGTTGGGGAACTCTGGCTGAAAATACTATGCTTCCAGTAGCCTTTAAAATATTTGTTTGCAGGCAATTGAAAATGAATTGGTAATGTCATTCCATGCCTTCTTGTCCAGTAAATTTGTGACCTTGGAAACAACCACAGCAATGTGTGACCCTATAGAATGTGACATGATAGGCATTTTGAAGGCCACCTGGATTGATAATCCTGAAGAATGAGACCAAGAATTCAAATCATGTACTATTTCATTTATTCTACTGTATCTCATCAGTTAGCAGAATAAATAAAATAAAATAAACAAACAATGAACTGACCTGAGAGGTGAAAGTGATGCTTGGCTGAGACTGCAGGAGGTTGGCTTGGCTTTGCTGAGGTAGTTGCGTTAAGAGATTCTGCGCTTGCAGGAGGCCTGAAAATTGAATTTCATTTACATAAATGGAATTAATTAGCATAGTTTGCTGACGTATGGGTTCTAAAATTCACAACATTTCTTCATGTGTATCATACTTGTTGCTCAAGCCACTGTTAAACAAAGACTATATTATTTTCTTAAAAACAATGGAAACAGAGCAGGAAGTAAAATATTAAGTAAGCTCTTATGTTATTGTGCTTTAGAAAGCATAACTCATGTGGGTACAGTCTCTCAAGCCATAGTTGCATTTTACTTCTTAGCTATAGACTAAAGATTTTAAAGAAAAAAATATGAGATTGAATTAAATTTTAAATAAATTTATTTTGCCCTTATATCACATTAAGAATCCCAAAGAATTATAGATGCTTGGAAAACCAAAAGGTTTGGAGGGCTACTTAAAACTCTTGGGACTTCAGGTTATGAAATCTACTGTAAGTAGTGCAGTATATGACTGAGGTGTATACCAGATAACTGATCAGGCAAAGAAGGACATGGATTGGAAAGGAGGGAAGACCTTTGGCTCCCCTAGATGAACCATTTGTGCCCCTTCTAAATTGGAAAGCCCTTCAGAAAATCAGTCTTATTCCATTCACCTCATGGCTTGATTACTACCCTGTGCTATACATATGGACTGCCTTGAATGTCCTTCAACTGGTCCAGAATGCAGCAGTGTGGTTAGTGATAGACATACCCCAGAATGTCTATGTGAGATCTCTACTTTACAAATGGCACTGGTTGCTAGCATGTGATTTAATATGTTGGATATAATCTATAAAACCCTATATAACATAGGAACAGATTATTTGAAGGACCATCTGTCTCCCCTGGTCCAACTGGTGGGTTCCAGGCTCTTTTGATTGAACAGTGCAATTAGGATCTAGGAAATGTGATTTTCTAACATGATGCCTACCCTTTTGAATGAGATTCCCACTGAAATCAGTATGATTCTTACCCTGGTGGAATTCTAAAGGCCTTAAAAACATCCCAGGCCTTTGGTTACTATGAAAGGAATCTCTTGTGGTATTTGTTTTTCTATTATTTTATCTGGAGCAACTGGATACCAACTTGCTTTGTTTTTGTGTTTTGTTATACCCCAAACCACTCAGTCATTGGTGTTAGGCACTACTTAAATTATAAAAATAATAAATGTGAGTAATTATTCTGTGCTAACCAAAAACATTCAGCAAATCATGTTTAGGGTATGTCCCCTTTAATTCTGTTGTTCAATATTACTTGGTGAACTCCATGAATTTGCCTACAGCAATCCATTTAAAAACCAAATACAGGTAGTCCTCAACTTACAACCACAATTTCTGTTGTTAAATGAGAATTTGTTAAGGGACTTTTGCCCCATTTTACGACATTTCTTGCCACAGTTGTTAAATGAATCACTGCAGTTGATAAATTAATAACCTAGTTAAGATAATCTGGCTTCCGCATTGACTTTGCTGGTCAGAAGGTCACAAAAAGAGATCACATGACCCCGTGACACTGCAATGGTTGTAAGTATGAACCAGTTGAAAGCATCTGAATTTTGATCACATGATCATGGAGATGCTGCAAAGGTTGTAACTGTGAAAAACAGTCATAAGTCATTTTTTCAGTGCCGTTGTAACTTTGAATGATCATTAAATGAACTGTTGAAAGTTGAGGACTACCTGTAAATTGAGGGCTCTTTATTTAGTATGTATACTATATACTGTAATCTTTACTGAAGAGGAAAGGACGGGACTTAATGTTTCCTTCCAATTACTTTGATAGAGATACAGGGTTTATAGAAAATTCAAAACGTTTACATACACGTCTTCTCTGTCCTTTCAAAAAGATAGGAAAAATGAAACAAAACCTAAGACCTCATAAATTAATGGGCTTTTTTAATTTGAAAAGGAAGCCTATTTCTGATTCGTAGTAACTACAGCTCTTTTGTAAATAAAATTTTTATTTCCAAAGAAACACAAACACACAACACATAAACATAAAAGCCTCTTCGACGACATACATTGTGTTGATTGGTTACAAGGTCTTTCTGCATCCTTTCCATAGTCATCACTTGAATTTTATCAAAATTCACATATTGTCAATCAAGATATCTTTGTATACATNGAGATTCGAACTGCCAAATTGCAGGCAGCAAGCAATCAGCAGAAGTAGCCTGCAGTACTGCACTCTAACCACTGAGCCACAAATTTAAATTTTACTTGGAAACTGATTAGTCAATGTGTGGTATTAGTGTTATGTACTCCTAGGAATATGTGTCAATTATCATATGGCCAACAGTGTCCTGGTAAATCCATGTACAGTGTACTGCACTAATCTAACCAAGTTGTAATGAGGATCTAAAGTACAGTAGACAGGTTCTCATGTACCAGATTAGGGATATTAACAGTTTAATCTGAAATTTCTTTTACACATACAGGTTATCTAGCTGTTACAGTATATCGTGGGGGGGTGTATGTGTGTGGTGTGTGCATGTGTATACATTATTTCAATTTTAGAAACAGATACATTTGGTATCACCATAGCTGTTTGGAAGAAAATTAATACTTTAAATAATTTTATAGTAATATAAAATGAAGTATAGATATTTTGGAGGATATCAGTAAGCATATAAACAAGGATGACTCAACAGATATTTCACAATTTCTGAAAAGCTTTGATCCAAGAATCCTGGGTCAACTCAAGTGCTCTCATAGATTAGCAATTAATTAAAACCAGGGAGCAAAGAGTAGGCATAAATTTTCAATTCTCACAATACTGAGATATACAAAGAGGAAGTCCCTCAAATATCTATTTCAGGACAATGGATGTAATTTATATTCCATAAATTAAATGGAAGTAGGGCTGACTAGCAGCAATGAAAGGCGGCTAAATCAAAAGTGATTGTAAAGAATGGGCTTCCCCAAGCAAACACAGTTCAGAGTAAACAGATGTAAAGAGTTACATGTTGGCGTTTAAAAATCTAAAATTTATCTATATATTAATGGGATCTGAGCTGCTAGTAACTGACCAGGAAAAGTGATCTTGTAATAATTTAATAATGGAGAGCTTGAAAATGTCAATGCAGTCAGCAGCTGCTGTAGAAAAGACATGAATGGAACCATAGAAAGGGAATAGAACTACCAATATAATAATACTATATAAATCTATGTTGCAAATCGCCCTTAACTATTGTGTACAGATCTGATCATCAGCACTGAAGTTAATGTAAAAAAGGGAAGATGATTGATGGGATGAAGCACCTTTCATGAGGAAAGGCTACAACAATAAGAAGGGTATGGGAAGATATGATAGAATTATATAAAATCATTGATGGCATAGATAAAATGGATAGAGCTAACTTTTCTTCTGACTCTCCTAATGTTCCACTGAAATGATCCACTGAAAATAAACAAATGGGGATTCAGGATTGAAATAAATATCATTTTAAAACCTTGTTGGAATAATAGAAAGAAAAATCTTTCAGAGAAAGAGATATCAGAACATCTCTATTTTTCCTTCCATGGTAAAGATTACAAGATCAGTTAGAACAATTAATCAGTGGAACAACTTGCCTCCAGAAGTTGTGAATGCTCCAACACTGGAAGTTTTAAGAAGATGTTGGATAACCATTTGTCTGAAGTGGTGTAGGGTTTCCTGCCTAAGCAGGGGGTTGGACTAGNCCAAGTTAGTTGTTAATTTAAAGGCAAAATGTATCTTTTTCTAGAATTTTAACTATAAGAACTGAAGTAGATCTATTAAATAAACTTTAATCTTGATTATACAATAACACACTATAGCACCGTAAATATTTGAGGACTAAAGTGATAGAAATATGTACAAGGATCCACTAAATATTTTTAAACTAGGAAAAGTGTCAAATGTTCTACTGTTATACTTTCATTAACAGAGAATTAACAAGATATGTAGATTTTTAATCACCATATATTCTAGATAAAGGTACTGAAGTGCGATGACCCCTAGGTTCTCTCACTGAACTTTATACTTTAAAAACAAGTCTTAAAGATACTCACCCAGCTGCAAATTGGGAAGATGCCATCAAGCCTGGATTCAATCCTGCTGCAGCTGCCATAGCAGCCAGACTTGCATTTGCAGGCAACTGTGCAGCTCCTTGTAGTGCAGCTGCTGCTGCAGTTTGCAGACCAGAAGCAGTTACCATCACCTGGCTGGTCCCAAGTGCCGAGGTCAGGGGGGTGGAGGTTGTCTGTGTTGTGGTTGTCTCACTGGCACTGGATGCCTCAGATGTGGAAGCAGAGGCAGAAGGAGAAGGACTTAGGGAGGGTGATGTTACTGCCGAGGAAGCTGGAGGCGCCGTAGAAATTACAGTTGCGGTATTGTTGGGTATGGTTTCTGTGTTGCCTAAAACAATACAATATTTGAAGTACCTGGATGGAGCCAATGTTACTCTGATGGAACAAAAGGGTAAGAATTAACTTGAATTTAAATAGTGGCTAACTCAGGGCAGATACAAGTATCCTTGCTTAACAACTGTCCTGTTTAGCGATGTTAAAGGTTATGACAGTGCTAAAAAACTTCATGGATATACCAATTTCATATGCCTATTTCTTTTGAGAAATACACAATATTATTTCCAACCATGCCTGACCACTCATAGATGTTTTAAAATAGCAATATATGGCATTTGGTATGTGTAAGAACCAGGGGTGGGTTTCAAAAATTGTTCGAACCTACTCTTTGTGGGAGTGGCTTGCNTGCAGCAGAAGCTGAGATGGTGGCCCCTGCAGCATTGTGCTGCTGACTGGCTGAATGCTGCACTGCAGCTGCCAGCAACTGTGCCTGTGCCTGTTGTAGTAATAATTGCTGCTGGGCTGGTGTTAACGTAAGCTAGAAATAAGTTTTAGGACATTCATTAATAAAAGAAAGGAAAAGCTGCTTTCTTAAGTATCACTGTTAATTTCTCAGAAGTTTTTATTAGATAAGCTATTTTATATTTTTTGCTTCAGTATGACTGAGATCAGAGAAGCAAGAGTCTCTATGACTCCTCTTCAAGATTAATGTGAAAAAAGTAATTAGCAAGCAAGCAATGGAGAGAAACAGCACTGACAGGAAATAGCAAGCAAAAAGAACAAGCCATCATTGACAGGCTTTGAAAGGAAATTTACATCTACCAGAAGCACAAGCGATTAGCCAGATGAATGAAAAATAGCAATACTGGCTGTGGTTACCAAACAACTGATAATACTCCAGCTGCTTCATATTAGTATGAATCCCTGCCATGTTCCATCGTCCCCATTATGCCTTAAGATATAGATGAGGAACATGTGCACCATTTGTTCCTTTCCAAGGCACCCCCTCTTCCGTCTGTCTTTTTGTTTTGATAACATTGAGCTGGTAAGTTGACATCTCTGCCAGTTTCCAAACATGCATTATCTCTATGAAACAGGTGGCATCGAACTCCCTCTGACACATTATTCTTCCCAGTTTCTGTAATGAGAGAGCTGCTAGGTTCAAAGACCTGAATCCACTCCCTATATTACAGGCAAGAACATTTCAGCAATATGACCCAGACAGCATTTCAATAAGCCTGAAGGATGCTGAATAGGTCCATGCAAACATTCACACATAATCTTATCCTAAGCCTTAAAGAATGATACTCAGATTACAGTAAAATTTTGATTTATATGTTATTTTGCTATTGTTATGGCATACATGCTCAATTGAAAAATGTACAAAGAGCTCAACTGAGAAGCCTATTTAAAGAGCTTTTCATCTCATGCCAACTTTTAAAATGTTAATCTAAGGATTCATTTTTCTATATGAAAAAGAGAATATCAACAAACCAAAACATGTATTAAAAGTTACACTTTAGGATGAATATTAAAATACCTGATTCAATATTCATGAATAGGAGAGTGATTTTATTGTGACTTCAGAGACGCCAATACATTTCTTATTTCAATCATGTAATAAAGTTACATTGCTGTTTCTATGATGCTACTGATTTCATCACAAATTGCTTGTCTTCTAAAATTTATGTTTAAGTTTCAAAAGAGTAGAAAACAAATGTATAAAAATGTACTAACAGTTTAGACTAAGAGGTTTTGTTAAAATTATCTATATCTACAATCACTAACATTTTGCAATAGAGCTGATTTGCTTAGGAGATTTCAAATGTATTTATATTTAGGTAAATATATTGTTGTAGCCAGCAAGGGCATTAAAAGTGTGAAACTTAAATACAACATATTGGGCCTAGAGATCAAAAGTCCACTCTATTAGAATCCAGAGTGTCATATGAAAATGCACTATTTAAAAGAAACAGCAAAGAGAATTTTTGTACTTTCTCTCTTTACGTAGAGTAATTATCAGAAAAACAAAAAAAAATCTCAATTTTATCATCTTGTCAGAGATTTACAGGAATGCATAATATTGATAAATTCAGATTCACTGGGATTACTTCATTTTCCTTTTATGGGTTGTTTGGCTAATACCACAACTTGAGAAGGTTGCTCATTCTCATTCACTACAGCTGATCTTACCCCAGTTATCTGCCCTCCAGCCAACATAAGCTGTGTTTGCGGTATGGCCGCCTGAACTGAAGGCTGCTGTGAAGGCTGGCTTGGCTGCTGAATGTCCCCAGATTCTTCATTAGATTTAGACTAGAGAAAGAAAAATACAAACTTTGTAGAACACAGCAGTTATTAGTGTGGACAAAAACATATTCTACTGTAGTGTTTTCCCTGTTCATTGATTGCGAATTAATTTGTTTAAAAAAAAAACACTTTAAAAAGCTTATTTATTTCTATAAGTAATCATAGATAATAGATGGGGTTGTATCTGCTTTCGCACCAGTAAAAAACAAAATATTTGGAATAAAAGAAAAGAGCAGTAATTTCAGATTATTTTCATAGTTGGATAGAAATGAATATGTTGAATACATAAAGCCTCTGATTTATTATCTCCCTATCATTATGCATTGGTTTAAACCAATACATTAATTAGTGCTGCTAAAGCTTCCAAACTTTCCTAGTCAATGCAATGTTACTGATAATTCTTAGATGCACACCTTCACCAAGTATGTGACATTGCCCAACCCTATTAATTACTGAGAAAACCAATACTAATACACTGAAGGTTTGGATCACAAGATCACAATTTCCATATATCCATTTTATCAATATGGCATTCAATTTAAACAAGATACTAAAATGTTTGTATACCAAACATACCAAAGTACCAAGGGAAAGAAAACTAACACTCAGAATACAAATATTATTTCTAATCAGTGAAGTTCTGGTATTTTTAATGGCAAGCTCAGTTTACATATTTAAACTATTTTATAGAAAAACAAATTAATATATAGCCACAAGGTAGGAAATGCAAGCAAGAAAGCAAAAGAAAGACGGGGGAGAAAAGCCCAAAGAGGGGTTTATGCTAATTAAATCGCTTATGGAGAACATTAAAATTCTGCATAGATTTGCATATTTTCCACCACCTGTTTTGGGGACCGCAGAGCAGGCTAATTAACATAGAGGCTCTGATTAATTCTGCCAGTCATTGAGAGATAATTACAGCACAGGACTGTAAACATTCTGCACTGGAGATATAGCCTGTTTGCCAACATCTCTCTCTGGGATTGAAAAATTACCATGGCAACCAAGTCAATGTTCAGCCTCTTTTTTACAGAAGAAGGTCACTTTTCCTATTCCTTTCAGAAGCATCATTTGTAACTAGATGTGTGTTCTAGAGGGCTTCAAGAATAGTCTTCGGTCTTTAGCATTCTTATAATGAAGCCACTTCAAAATACTATTTGTTATATTCCTTTTCTTTTTTAATATATTACTTGAATGTCTTCATAGTAAGAATCAGAGGATCACAATTTGGTGTAGCATCATACAATACACAAAGCTTATTTAGTCAGCTATATATCTTTGATAGAAATGAACAAGTTTTAGATTCAACTATTGAAAATAATGTAATTTCTCCAACATTGTATAACTTTCCAAAATTATATATTAGAAAGGTAGGATAAAATGATGATGATATTCGCTTCCGTAATATAAAAGTAGCTCTTTTTAATAGTATTAACAGCATTAATTGCTGTTGAACACCTAAGTTGATTATTGATTACACACTATAGTGTATATAGTGTCACACTATTCATATTTCAACTAAATGGACTGAGATAGATGAGAAATTTATAGTAATTCTTACCTGTACATTTAAGGATTGGGCAGCAGCTTGTAAACTTGATCCAGGAAGCTGAACCTATAAAAACAATTCATTTTTATCAATAGAGTCAGCAAAATGGTTGCAAAGTTTCCCAGCTTGAAAAAAATATAATAAGTATTATGTCTTAAATACTACTTAAACCCTGAAGGTTATAGTAAGATAGGCTAATAAAATATTCTAGTTAGCAGAATGCAATGGCAGTATTTGCCAAGAAAACTACATTGATATGAAATCATAATGAGTGAAATTTGCTAGGAGGTTGAATCCCATTGCAGAATTGAACTGATCAGGAATGTTTCAGTAGCTGACTAAATCAAAACAGCATTTTTTATGAAGCAGTCAAAATTAGAATCTTATTAAAAGTTCATTAGAAAATTGTGGAACACAGAATCATAAATAATATGCATCTCACTAAATGTTAAATTTCTTCAGATTTTAACATGTTGTGTGAACCTGTGGATGGTAATGCATTCTTTATCAGCTAAAAATCACTCCAATGAAAAATTTTAAAATGTTTTTCTCAAAGAGACTAGGGCATCCTTATACAGAAGTTTAATGATTTTTTAAAAGTAGGGATTTCCACCATGTTGTGTATCATTTTCATAAGAACACAAACTTCCAAATTATAAAGGATATGGATTTTCCTACACACTGTGTTGAACTACAGCACAGCTCTGGGAACTCAAATATATCAGGTAGCATATATGTAAATAGGAGACATAAGCAAGGTAGTTAAGATATAAGCAAATACTTTTTTCCAACTTTTCCCACATTTCTGGGTTGGATTCCACAAAAGTATAAGAATGCCATCTGTCACCAAGCAAGTAATTATCCTGTAAAAAAGCTTCTATCAGCAGTGCCAACAGCCAGTTTAATCTCTCTGCTCAGTACTATTTTGAGATAGAATAGTATTCATTAGAGAGGTTTGCAAACCAGCATTGCAACATAGCTGTCATAGAGATATGATGAAGGTAAAAACAATATTTTGTGTTTCAATTCTTTTTGTAGTATCAAATTATGAATACATTCCTCTTACACATAATTGGCAAAAAAACTTAAGACCACTTTAATGAAAACTAAGTTCAACATGCTGCATTACTTTTTTTAAAAAAAAATCTCATTAGATAATTGTGAATGATGCTATATTCTGCAGTAAACATATTTGTATAGCCTAAATTTTATTCTTAAATAAATTCATCCTATATTGTAGATGAGCCAATTGTCCCAGATGTGTGTGTGTATGTGTGTGTGTGTGTGTGTGTATGTATGTATGTATGTATGTATGTATGTATGTATGTATGTATAATAAAAGTATGAACTGGATATCAACTTGAATAGAGCACACACATTAGCAAGAATGCTAAGACGTTTTGCCAACTAATCTTGCAAACTATGTGAACTTAAAAACAATATACAAGCTGTTATCATTTTATTGTTAACTAGAGAATTGTGACCCACTGGGTCATCATTTCAGAAATATTTCATTACCTGAACAAAAAGGTAGAATAATTATGGCTGAGCAAAGAAGCAAGGGGAGCAGGAGCAACTTGATTTCTTGCTGGCTATCCCACAGAGTTTCCTTTTAGGAAACTGGCAGTGAATGTTTGGAAATCACTATCATGTGACTGCAGCTGACTGTGACGGTGTAGCCACTAAAACTGGCACAACTTTCCTACATTTTATTCCCACAGATTTTATACGTATTCGGTAAATTAGTCCGTCTGAGATATGCTGATTCTAAAATGGTGGTCCTACAATGCACTGTTTTACCAACTGAAGGTTACAAACACACACACACATTTAGTAGTATATAAATGGCAAAAGACATGTTTGAATTTTATCTTTTATACCTACTGCCCAGTGACAAATTTATATACATTCTAAATTATCTTAAAATATATTTTAAAAAAACAACCAGCACATTTCAGTTTTAGTGAACATTCTAGGACCCAAGGCTAAGATAGCCAAATCACGTTGATTTTGTTTACTAAGATATTTTTTCCTGCACATCTCATCAAGAAGCATAACCAAACTTGATTAAGCTAGCCAATTTTCCTAGTAGCACTAGCTGTATGCTACATACATTGCAATACCTGAACTGGGTTTGGAAGTTGAGACAAATAATCTCTATGGTTTGCACAAGAAATAGTATGGCTATGTATACAAAATCGCCAGGACTGAAGTTTAATCCGAAGGAAACTCTATTAGAAAGCACAGGCTTGTTTTCTTGTCTATATCTGAGAAGGTTCGTGCAAGTACAGGAATGCTTCTGTGTTCTGCCATTAAAGAATACTCTGTTACTGAAACAGGTATTAATTAAATAGGACAACTCAAACTCAAACTGTGAATTAAGTCTCTCTTTTTTTAAAAAAAATAATACTTTACTGTATAGAACAACACTGTATAGATAAACTAGAACTATTGTTGTATTTTCTATTACAGATAACTGATTTCCTAAGTCCTTTCAGGTATAATACATTGTAGTAATACAGTTGGGAAAAAAGAAATCCATATGTAACATATTTTCCATAGAACCAGAATTACCACCTAAATTGTCAGAAAATTCTAACATCTGTCAGACAAACAAATAGAAGTGTGAGAGAAATTGATCTTCTAAAACAAGTTTTACCAGATGTAGAAATAATGAAGTATACTGGCAGCTGGTAGGTAGACAGATAAAATTTATTTGCCACTCATGTCACTGTGGGGCTACTCTGGCTGGCTTACAACAGTACAATGAAATTTTTTAAAAAAATGTAAATATATGTAAATATAACAACAGTAAAACAATGAAACAATAAAAATAAAGTACTGCAATATTAATTACAAGATGGACATGGAGAGAACAGGATGCACAGGGGGAGTTAGGATCAGCTAGTTAGTCCAACGACCACCTCCAGTGTTGTACTCCCTCACTGGGTACTAGACCAACTGGAAGAGCCAGGTCTTTAAGCTCTTATAGAAAGATAAGAGGGTGGGGGCAGACCTTACTCCAGGGGCATGGATGTTAATGATCATGCCTTTCTTTACTTTTATGGGAGAAAAGTACCTGACAGCCATTTATTCTTACAAATAACAGTGGGGAAAAAAATCCTTTTTTAAAAAAAAAGACAACTGTTTTTCACTTAAAAAAGTAAATGTGAGAAGGGGCAATCGATTTTAGGCTATAGTAACATTTCCGAAATTTCCAATATTTTCCAAACAAATAAATAAAATCTGTTAAACAAAATTCAGAAGGGAAACATTTGCTCTCCTTTCCAAATCAAAATTCACTTTCTATTTTGGAAGAAAATAAAAACATTTATTATGTGATCCACAGAATTTGGAGGCAGGGAAAACTAAATATAAAACTAATAAACTAAACTAATAAACTCAACTTTTGGAATTGAGAAGTGAAAGGTCTGACAAATTAACCTCCAACCATGCCAATATTAAAAGCCCCTTTGACTATAAGATTAAGTATTGGAGAAACAATTGGAATTCTCAACCCATTCCCTTTTCCTACTCCAAGTACCATTTTGGCAGTACCCTAAAATGACCAAGAAGGAACACAAAATTTTAAATAGTATATAGATAGTATATAAAAAAGTGGATTCTTTTGAGCAAGAACCTCCATGCGCTTATCATATAAAGAATAAATGCTATATAGAAAAGGGATAGGCAAGCAAGAATCTGTCTTTTTATCTCACCAAAACTAATATATTATAAGATAATTTTGATTTATTAGGTGTTCTAAGGTACCCAAAAGATCAAACAATTTACAAGTCTAGGAAATACCAGTGCATTGTAAAATTATGGTTTAAGTTGCAGCTTTAAATGTCTGTTACATTAGAATATGAAACTCTTCTTTCACTCCTTAGCTGCACTACACTAACTTCCTGACTTCTAGAATGAATAATCATCTCATTTAAACATGGGTTTTAAAAATCTGTCATCCTACTTTGAATATGACAATAGAAACAGTCAAGAAACTATTTTTGTTCAACTACTCTTTATGTGGCAGACTCCTTATTCATTTTTTCCCCTTTTCGATAGTAAGAATCTGTAATGGAAAATTATTTTTACTATCAACTGCCACTTTTTAAAAATAGTGTTTTACTGAAATATTTTTATGTACAGTATATACAATCACTGTGCTACCTCTTCCTCTGTTCGTACATATTTTTCTCCTTGTTTGCCAACCACTTGATTTGTAAAATAAATAAATAAAATAAAATAAAATTTCATTGTCAAAATCCTTCATCTCATTCATGATGACTACTGGAAATTCTTCTGCTAACATTCGTTTAACTACCCCCTAATTATCTGTTTAGCACTTAGGCTTCTAGTGTCTGAGAACAAGAGATTTTGAAATCAAATGTCTGAATCAGTCATGTTTCCATCTAAGTACATAAATCCAGTCAAATTAAATCAAACTCAGTAAGGCATGACACTCTTCAAACGTATTGTTTATAATCAAGTTGTGTGTGTTTGTGTGTGCGTGCACATGTGCACCTTTTGAATCAGAATTGACTTTCTAGAAACCGCCTGGACTAATACCTGTAGTTTTCCTGACAAGATTTTTGGAAGCGGTTTGCCAGTATCTGTTTCCTATAGCTGGGAGTGTGTGACTGACCCAAGGTCACCTAGCTGGCTTTGTACCTAAAACTTGATCTTGGTACTCAAACTAATGGTCTCCCAGTTTCTGGTCTGATGCCTTAACTACTGCATCAAATTGATTATCCTTATTATTGTGATCCTGCTACAAAATTTGCATCATTCTAGACAAATTAATTAATTGGATTCCAAAGCCATCAACAGTTATTGATAGTAGCTTTTACCTAGAAACTGAAAATAAGCAATAGTCCAAGCAATGGTAACAATTATTATGATTTGCAGCCTCTAGTTCACTTGAAGAATCAAGTTTTATGTAATAACTTTTAGCTGAATTTCAGTATCTTTATAATCAGTAAATTATAAAGATAATTGGAAATTATTTCATTGCTCTGTTAATTGTCTTTTTGACAGCCCTTATATTTCAAAAACCTTATGAATGTTCATAATTTATGTAATTATTTAATATATGCAATTGTATGATGTGCTAAGAACATTGTGTAATTTTGTGGATATGCATGGATTCCTTCCCATGGCAATATGAGACACTGTAACAAAGGACATATTACATGATCATGATGTACTCTTTTTATAAAGAAGCAACTGAGCATTTCTTTTTGCTGTTTCCATTTTTAATTTTCTTCCATATGTTGGCTGCTAAATATTTCTAGAATCTGGCAAATTTTATAGAAGTTATTAAAATATCAGCCTTATACTCTACTAATTCTGAACATAAAAATTATCTATATGACTTTTTTCAATAGGTCTGTATAAAAGAAAAAAAAACCCCATGCTTACCTGATGAAGATGTCCAAGGAACGCCTGGGCTGTGGAGATTGCCCCTGGAACAGGCACCGTCTGTTTCTGAAAGTCTAGGCCATTTGTTTGTGTGCCTAGAAAAGCAAAGTTATAGCTAATTAAAATTCTTCTTAAAAGACAATTTTGAAAAAATTGCTGGTTCCTTAAAATCCAAGTAGCAATTCAAAGACAAAGAGCTTAAAATGCCCATATTTTAAGTCTCTGTATTTAGCAAAATTTTAATATTACCACATTTATTGTTCTGTTTTAAAGCCACTTATTAAAAACCCACAGTAGAATAATGTTACTAAAATTTCCATCATAAAAGTTAAAAATCCAACTAGCTAAAAATACAAATATATAAAGATCAACATTATAAAATACAAAACAAGATTTAAAAGAATTAGTTGATATAGAAGCTAAATTGCTGAAGGAACTATGATATCGCCTTAAAAATTTAGATAAACAAACAAGTCTTAGTCTGAAACTAAACAAAAAATAAAATAAGTGCTATGCAACTTCTCAGATCATCCATTAAATCAGTAATCATTATTAAAACAATTCATTCTTCATCCTCAGAATGATAGGCAATTGGAGAAAATTCTCAGTACATGATGGATACACATACTGTATTGCAGAAGAATTCCTCAACTTAGGACCACAATTGACCCAAAATTTCTGCTGCTGAGTGAGACATTTGTTAAGTGAGTTTTGCCCCATTTTACAATCTTTTTCTTGCCACATTTGTTATGTGAATCTCTGCAATTGTTAAGTTAGTAACATGGTTGTTAGCTGAATCTGGATTTTCCATTCACTTTGTTAGAAGATCACATGATATCAGGACATTACAACCGTCATAAATACAAGTCAGTTGCCAAACATCTTAATTTTGATCACATAACTATGGAAATGCTGCAACGGTCATAAATGTGAAAACGGTCAGTTATTTTAATGCAACTGTAACTTTGAATGGTCACATATGAACTGTTGTAATCAGAACACTTGAATAAATATAGTGTTAGGAAAATTAAAAAGCACCTAAAATATTAAGACAAAAAGTTTACAATAAAGTTAAAATAAGTTGGAGTATAAGACGCACTCTTCTCCCCAAAAGTGGGTGGAAATGTCTGTGTGTCTTATACTCTGAATATTGCGGCATGGGGAGGAGGGGGTTGGTGCGGCACCGATCAGCTGCTCTAGAATGGACTGTGGCAAATGGGTTCTGGCGGCAAATGGGCTGTGGTGAATGGACGGCAGCAGCAAACAGACAGTGGTGAACGGGTCACAGCAAATAGGCCAGATGAATACCGAATGGATGCTGGGAGGCAGAGGCAGATCCCCCTCCCCGTTTTCCTCCCCAAAAGCTAGGTGCATCTTATAGTCTGGAGCGTTTTATAGTCCAAAAAGTACAATAAGTTGAAGTAGTGCTGGTTCTTCAAAATATGACAGTAATAAAGCATATTGTTAATTGCTTTGGACCGAATTAGGGGCTACTCGCAGTCCACAAGATTTTTTTGGGGGGGTGACCCCTAGATTCCTCCAAGGGTTGAAACTAAACATTTAGACTCCTTTTTTTGCATTTTTGAGGCAATTTATTTGTATTTTGTATTTTGTATTTGTTTATTATTTATAGGCCGCCCTTTTCCCTGAGGGGACTCAGGGCGGCTTACAATTTATGGGGAGGGGAATACAAGACAAGACATGAGACAGTACATAAGAGGAACAATTGATAGCTTAAGTCTTGCAGATACTTCGTACTCATTTTGTTTGGTAGAACTGATCAATAGCCCTGACTACTTGTATAGTACAGCCTCAACATATCACAAAAAAATCTCAAAATCCTTTCAGACATTAGAAGTCATGCAACCGATACAGAATGTCTATGGAGATTCTCAGTCATCCAGGTTTGATTACAAAGGTGCTTTTTCAAAGAAAGATAAAGACAGTCCAGTTGCCTTTTGAAAAAGCATCTTTGGGACAACCAATACAGAAGAAATACAACATGGAATCAGATCACAGAAATAAGTGAGAATGGAAATATAAAATGCTAACACAGAAAAAGGTAAAAAATAAAAAAAGGTTTTAATATTTGTTTCATTTAATTATATTATGATGCTTGAACACTTTCCATCAAATTGATTCTTTCAAGGATGTAATAACTGGATTTGTTGGCAGGAATAAACAACTTACTAAAATGTTCCTCAAGGCTGAACGTAACTTAACCAGAATTTCTGTTATTGGAAAGAAATGGAAAAGTACTACTTTCTCTATACATAATATGAACTCTGGACAGATTAAGATTTATTATCCTAACCTATAGCTTCAACAAAATATCTTTATAGATTTTCAAATATATGATTTAGCAACTTTTAGTGAAACTAGATAGTAAACAGAAACTACATTAGATGCTAAAGAATGATTCTTTGAGAGAAGGAATGATACTGCCAGACTTGGAAGAGATGGGGAAGACTTCTCAAGAGATCATGCTCTAATCCAGCCATTACAGACATGTATTACCCATCTCCAATCTTTTCTCTTAACAAATGTTAAGAAGATGCTGCTAGATGAAGCATTTTATCAGCCAGGGTTTAGGCATGAAAACAGAATGCAATCCTCACTAGTTCCTGTTAATGATGACCAGACATAATCCTGCCTATTTTTACAGAATAGCTTCAACATATCACACAAAACCTGGGCCAGCTCTTCAGTCATCAAAAATTATCCATTTAGATGGGGAGAGGGTGCTGCTCTTTTTCTTGCTTTATCTCTCAGTGGCAAATAATCTATCAATCAGTGATTGTATACCTTCCCAAGAAGGTAGTCTCAATAAGTTGATGGTGAGGAGTGGCTCCTCAGCATCTCCTGCTCTTTAATATTTACCCTGTTTCCCTGAAAATAAGATCTCCCTGGATAATAAGCCCAATTGGGCTTTTGCGCTCATGCACTAAAATAAGTCCCCCCCCAAATAATGCCTCTCTGAAAAAAATTGCAACACAGCAGCAGCTATGAGATGACCATGCTCGCCGCTCTTACATCTAACTTCCCTTGAAAGAGCAGGCTTACAATTTAAGAGGTCGCCCCGGACTTTAAGCTCCTGTAGGAATAGCAAGTGGAGGCCATAATCAGGACAACTGCAACTGGTATCCCAGTTGCAGTCTTTTCTAGACACGAGGCTCTAGCAACAACTACCTATGTGCTCCTGGTTAGATTAGTACAGCCCGCTCTTCATGAGGCAACCATTAAAGACAAGTCATAAGTTATGGTTGATACAAAATATGGTGGCAAGCACTAGAATAACCAGTTTTTGCAGGAACTATATTGATTATTTGTTGGCTTCCAGGTCCAATTGATTGTCCTAATCATTCTCTATTAATACTCTTCATTGTCAGTAAAAAATATTGATAGATTGATAAAATAGATTTTGTCCACTCCATATAGCCAACACAGCAGGCTGAGGATTCTCTCATTCAAAATAAGATGGAGATTAAATAACTATGCTTTTGTGGTAAAAGTCCTTTCTGCAACAATTTGCCCCCTGAAGTTAGGATTGCCCTTAACTTGCTACCATTCTCAAAAACTGTGAAGATTGCTTTTTCAGTAAGTGTTTGGTGTGGATGAAATAATAATAGAGGCAACTGCTCAAGGGGAATATTTAGTCTGGCTGGAGTCTTGTATTGATTTGTTCTTGTTGCTGTTTCTGAGGTATAAATTGCCTACATTTTTTGAAGTAAGCAATATATAAATTCAGATAAATAAAAAAGCAAATAATGTATTTTATTTTCTGAATCTGAATTTTCTGAAATGATTGGTTTTAATTTTCTAATTTATAATTATGTTTCTGATACTATAATAGTTTGTTCAGAGTATAAAAAAAATTCAGGAAATGATTTGGAAATAAAAATCTGCTCGTTTTAGTTATCTGAGGGAAAAACAGTAAGCTCTTCAACGTACAAGAACATCATTAAAATGAACAACTGTTTGTCTTAATAAATTGAAAGATAAATTATTTTGTAACGTGAAACTAATCCAATTGCTAAAATTAAAGTTTTACTAATTGCCATTTCAATAAATCTTGTTAAAGAAATCTCTGTCCCAGGAGTATAATAGGAAAAGAGTATAACTGGAGACTTTATATTTTTATTGAACATGAATTTTACTGTTTTAACATCTTAAAAAGTCTGCTTTCTCCAGCATACACGGCATGACTATCTGGTATGTTATAAACTTATAGAAATCTACATGGATAAGTTATAAAAGTACTTATTAACTAAGCTATTTGGTTGAATATGTATCTTATTCAATCCAAAATCCAAAGCATGTAAATAGCAACAGCAATTTGCACATATTCCCAATTAGTGTGAGCAAGGCAACTCACTGGGGCAGTGATGGCTAACCTTTGTAGTGCTGCATGCTGAAAGTGTGTGCGCACACACCCATAATGCAATGTGGGTGCACCCACTGCCCCTGCATGCGTGCATGACCTCACATGCGCCCATCTCCTTTGCATGCACATGCCTTTGCATACACCCGTCCCCATGCATGCAACATCTGCACATGCATGTGACCCATGTATGACCCCTGTGCATATGCATGCGAACTATGCACATGCACCCTGCCCCATATGTGCACACGTCTCCCACATGTGCCCCACTCCCCACGCATGAGCGGCAGAGACCCAAAAATTAGCTGCCTGCTGGGAGTCATGCACATATGTGCAGTGGAACTGAGCTGGGGCGACGGCTCATGTGCCCACAGAGAGGACTCTGTGTGCCACCTGTGGATGCATGCCATAGGTTTGCCATCACAGCACTAGAACCAAATGTTACATTTTGGGAATGTCGTGAGTCAGTTGAGACCAGAGACCTCATCAGTTGTTTGGTGTCTTGTGCTTATTGTATATTTATCAGCAGGTACTGTATATATCAAAACTTGCATACTTAAGACTAAGCCCTTCTTAGTGGAAATGACCAAAAGGACCTCTTGCCCATTTCCTCTGAGAAATTTACAGAATGATATATAATTTGACTAAAATTAGGATCAGAGAATATGGCTTTAGGATATTATTAAGTCTCATTCTAGTTTCAACCATGCTGTTCCTGAATATAATTCAGTGACCTCTTTTTCATTTCATTTACAATTTAATTAAAATGTTTATGATACTGGATGAAGCAGAAATGGTAACTGCGGACAAAATTACTGAGCAATTCATAAAAAGAAAGCATTTCTTCAGGGAATAACCAATCAATTCCCAGAGTATCATAATAAACTGCACTATTCATATATTATTCTTTATTAATTTATATTGCTCCAAACCATTGTAAGATTATTTTAGCAGTAGTTATGAAGGCTGGAAATTGTTTAAAAAATATTTTTTTAAATCAAAGGAAAAAAAAGCTCTTTGTAGTAGAATTAGTGTTGAATAAAAATGGTCGTACTCAAACCAAAATACTATGTACAAGTACAATGTGAAAAATAAATTGAAAGTAAAGAAAAACAGACAGCAACTCAAAATAGCTGAAGATTATAGCTATAGATAAAAAAATTGAATTTAAAACAAATTCTTAAAAGTTATTGTTGAGACTGTTTCTTTACCAACTCCCACTGCAAATATCATAAGTTACTTGTACAATGTCAGTTAAAATAGTTGTTTTACATGTTAAAGAACAGCTTAAAAACATAACTTTTGAAATGCCCTGTTATCACTGTAAAATACTGATATAATAGACTAAACTCAAAAATAACTACAGAACTGAAATCTAGGTTGTCAATATTTTCTTCTGTTACACATAGGCAATTATTTCACTCATAACAGCAAACACAAACATCCCAACAAGCACAAAAAGCAACAATTGCCAACTTCATATTTTATTTGTAACAGGTTCTCTATCATGTGGGGGAGGGGATAAACAGAAGGTATGTATTAGATAAATACAAATCTGAATAGAGGTATTAATAAGGACAGCTCTTTATACTTCAGGACAAAATGTATATCTATTATTAATACACATTTACATAGGACTGATGCATGGATGCCTTGCTCAACATATTGCCATACTGAACACAGAAAAGTAAGAAGCAAGTAAATCTGTTCATGTAATTACTGTGGTATTATTAAGAAATCTAAATCAAATACTATATAATCCATACCTGTTTCCCCATCCCCGCTTTCCATTTTTACAGGTTTACTGGTTTCTGACGGAGTATTCATTCTTGAGTCTGCATCAGAAATAAACAAAAAAGAGTGATTAGGAGGGAAAAGTACTACTGACTCTATCTTTATGACTGAAGTAATCATGACATATTTATTTATCAGTCTACAGTACACTGTACCCTAATTGCTAAGTTTGCATTAATGAATATATTAAAAGAAAACCAGGGCATAAAAATCCCCACATATCGCTACAAAATTTTAAATACTGCTTACTATTAAAAAGAACTACTGGAATAAGAAGTATGTGTTTCACTGTTGCAATTAATTATTTTGGCAATAAATAAAAAATATTGGCTAAACAAGTAGCCTTACACTGATATTTTGTTTCATTGACATTGCTGGCTGAGTTTTATTTAAACTTTTATTTTACTGAAATTCTTATACAACTTTCCTTCCACTGTAACTCTCCCAGTGCCAATCACATTTCTTGTACTGATGCAGATACATCTTCTAAGAAGTTCTCATGATATATGTAAGCTATCATTGTATTATTATGCTAACTTGAATGTGATGACACATCCCAGCATTTATTTTTAAGAAAGAACTCCTTGTCTATCATTGAAATCTCCCCAATATTGTCACTGTGGAATGGTAATACAAACATTTTATAACAATAAAACATTTACATATTGTGCTGATAGTAGGAGAGTTAAATTTATTTCTAGGAGTTAAGAAAAATATTCAAAAAAATAAAACTGAAGCGTTCTGAAATTTAAATGATGGAACAAAGACCTAAGTCATAAAAACAATTTTGAACCCATTTCAAGTACTATCATTCATTATTTCCTAGATCTTTATTTAACTTTGTTCCATCACTTTCCAGTTATGAAGGGACTCTTTTCTGCAAGCAAGCTGATTTATGTTGGAATTATATGAAGCTATGATATTGTAGCCAATGTTTGTTGTCTTTAAAAAATACCATATATTCTTCATCTTTCCAGTTATGGCACATTTAGGGTTTTAATTACTACATCCAGGTAATTTTTCTAGAACATTATGAAAAACAAAGTAAACAAAAACACTCAATAAACCATTTGTCTTTTGTACCTTTATTAATGTACTAAATCTTCATGAACTTAATTTTTTTCTGTAAAAATTGATAGTGAGGGAAAATCCCTGGTACAAGAAGCCTTGTTTATTTCTGTTGTAATATTTTCCTCACATCTATTCTTAGACATCATTATCCTGGGTAGAAACAACAGCTGTCCATTTCTGAAAGCAATTGGGTAAATTGTCACTCAACCTGGGAATTATAAATCAGAAGACAGGAGTAATATCTGGATTTGAATGCCTACTTGAATGGTTACTCTGCTTGAATAACATGCTCCTAAAATGGAGTTTTAGTAAAGTGTAGGCCCAATTGTGTCAGTAAGTAACATCTACTGTCAAGTTCAAATAATCAACAAATCTTGTACAACGGATACCTGGGGATGTTCTCAGCTTTCCATAGAATTTTACAGGCAAAAACTAAAAACAGTTAGCCACTAGGAGAGCACAGAGAGTGCCATTTTAGGACAACATATAGTATTTATTTATAAGTAAAGATTGCATTAAAATTGTAGTGAAAATTGCCAAAGGCAAAATCAAATCCTCCAAATCTGTGAAACAAAATAATTCACTTACTTTATTAGATGCACAAACAAATCTTGAGAAAATAATAACTTTTAGGCAAAGACTGTCATTTTTCATAAGGTAAAAAATGAGATGGGAGAAAAATGTTACTTGTTAAGCACATGTTAACTTGAAAAATGAAGCTTTAAGTAACCTGACTAAATCATATTCCAGATTGTCAATGTATTTTCTTGCCATTACACAAATTACTTCAAATTCCAATCTTGAAAATGAAGATTCCATGAAGTTGTCTGTTTCAATACAGCATTAAACAAAACCCTCTTGTAAGGGTACTTTCAGGTTTTCAAAAATATTTGTAAACTAAAATTTTGATCTGGTTCCAACAGTAACATTTTATTGGCAAACTCCATTCTGCCACTAGAAGGCAATATAGGGGGCAGAATTGGGTTATGCATGCAAGATGACGGTGGAGAAACATAAGAATAGGAAATTCTACTGCTCATGGAGAAATATGCTTATTTTCAATGTAAATTTAAATTACTATGTTATATATGCATTAGCAGATTTCTGAACATAATCTTGTGTTCCTCTTTTAATATAGCATGGGAAAAATGCACGTTGAACATTAAAGAAACATTTTTTCCAATTAAGGTTCAGTCAAAGTATGTGGGACGGATATAATAAATTTAAATAAATAATAGTTGGCTATCACTCTTAGTATGAAAATATCATAATGGGTACATTTATATGAATGTGTGTATCTGTATATTATGTTACATCCTAGTTTTATCACCCTAGTTTTATCATTTTCATAAGCAGGGGATTATGTCAGCAGCTACACCATAATGCAAAGTTAACTCTTGCATCATACATGCAATTCTCTCCACCCCCACTGTCTCTCACATACACACGCACACACACACAATACCCCAATACTGAATATTTGCAATATAAATATGCAGTATGTCTTATTTACAATGACTCAATATTCAAAAATTATTTTTTCTATCTCCACCAATTATAAACATATTTGTAAAATAGAATATTCTATGTTGTTCTGAAAGTTTAATGAATTTACTGCATCAACTATACACACACACACACACACACACACACACACACACACACACAACACAGAGACAGACACACAGAGATTGTTTATATTAGGCATAAACATAAGTTGAAACAAAAACAATATTTTGCCACAAAAAGATTTCAATATAATGGAAACATGGTTAATGGGATGTATTACCATAATAGTATAAAATGATCATAAAGAGCAAGAAATGATGTATGTACTTCAAAATAAGAGAATTCACTTGCTCTCACATTGTCTAGAACTTAGTTGGAGGAAGACAGATAATCCCTTCTGCCTTATTACAAGACTGCTATAATGAATTTACAGCCACATGATACAGTGATACTAAGTAGCTCAAGAGGACTTCAAAAGCAAACAGAACCTCCATGAACTGCTTGTGAACTCCCAAAGGCATCTGGCTCACCAATATAAGAAAATTCAGAAATTCAGAATTGGAATCTTGCTATAATCCGTAAAACGATTCTAATTTAAAGGTGAACGCAAAAGTACTAGACAAATATATTTTTAATGGCAAGTAATGGGTATAATGCACCATAATTTGAATAGCACGTGGTAAACAAATCCACATTTTTAACTATGTCTTTCTCTTTTTCATAAAATGAAGCAAATCTAATCTAATATTTTTATTATGGCATTAAAACAATTATATATTCTAAAGTGAGTCTAATTTAAAGGTGAATGCAAAAGTACTAGACAAATTTTTAATGGAAAGGTGTGGCTATAAGGCACCATAATTTGGATAACACATGGTGGAACAAATCCACATTCTCTTTTTCATAAAATGCAGCAAAACTAATGTTTATTATGGCACTAAAACAATTCTGTATTCTAAAGTAAACGAATTCTAATGAAGCAAGGACAGAAAATAACAGGTGCAGTACTGAAGTCATATGCTAATTTACTTCTAGATTCATTCTTAGTACTATTCTAACAGATCTCTAATACTCCAAAATTAGCCAACCACATACTCGTTACCATTTCAAAACAAATAAGAAGGGTATGAGGGGAATGATTCTGCTAATTCTGAAAGCTATGTATAAAGTTAATGTTCATGAATATTCTTACAGCTATCAAAAATAGAGTTATCAAAATTAATTCATCACATTCTCAAAATTTCAAAAGGCCAGATGAAAAGCACTTGAATACAACTGAAGTGAAAATCATGTTGGAAAATTATATGAAGAGCTTGAAATAATCATTCTAAAAACAGTTCAATCTGTGCTGTTTTTATTTAAAAGTAACTAAATTCTTTTTCATAAGTTTAAAAATGCTAAATACTAAAAGTCCTGGAGATAAAAAAAAATCTATTAACCTTACAAATATTTTTTTTAAAAAATAAAATCATTCATTTAATAGGAATTAAATTAGGAGATAATGTTAGTAGTTAAACATTGGTATCAAAAGATTTACTTGCTTTAAATAGTGAAGTATGACTTCAGTTCAGAAATATACACATTCAAATAAAATATAAGATGAATTGATGAAGCTACAATGGATGACAGTATTCTCCTAACACCTTAGAATAGATGCAGTAAGTAATATATACAAATAAGCAAATTCTTATTTCTGTCAAAAGGCAAATGTTTTAAAATTTAAAATTCTGTAAGCTTCCATTCTTGACAGTCATGAGCAACTCCATTTCTCCAATGCTGAAGAGTAAGAATCTCTGGAAGAAAAATGAAGAATGGGGAAGGCGTTTGCTACTGAATCACTGACAGATTTCAACATTTCAAATGCATCTCCCAATCGTACATATGCAATTAGGTCTGTATGTTTAGTCAATTTTAACAAGCGCTATTTCCATATTACATGCTTGCAAGAAGTCAGTGGAACTGATACCCACCTAAAACATAGTCGCTGCAGTCCAGCATTGCTGTGCAATCTTCTGTAGATTTAGATAGTCCAAGGAAAGAGAAAAATACTTTCTAAAATAAAAGGTATATACTACTACTCTTAAAAAAAGAAAGGGGGGGTCAGGAGTAGGAAAAAGTACAACTTCAGTTACACCATTGCAATCTTCAACTGAACAGAGAAACTTCAGTTGCTCTGTGGACTTTTAGTCTCTCCTACTAGCTGTGTCTAACATTGTCAAGGCGACTGAAGCATGAAAAGTTCCCTTTTTTTAATAAAATAGAAACAAAGATTGCAGCTGGCAGTTTCCATAATGAAGCTTAATCAGTATGCGCCTGATTAGGGCCTTATGCAAATCTCCCCTCGTTAGCACAGCAGCCAGCACTTTGAAGTCCATGAACAATTCATTTGCAGAGTACACTGAAAGCACTCCCTGCATAATTTAAATCATGATATAAATATTTATCAGCTCATTTACATATTAATTGGCAGTGCATGAAGGGAAAAATTATCTTCCAAGTGCCAGCATAATAATTAGGGAACAAAATGAAATTTCTTCCAATAGCTTTGCTTCTCAGACCTAACTTGAGCACAGTACCATGGAGAAATAGGGAAGGAAAAGAGGTAAGAACATTCTCTTAAAATGCCACTGAAATGACACATACAAATTAAAAACAACCCCACAGACTTAAGCATCTTTAATCTTATTCCTCCTAGCAACAATTAGTTTTGTAATAAATGAGATTTGGAAAAGCTTTCTTCACCATCTAAATAACCCTCCCCTTCCACCCCTATTAGCAAGTTAGAAGGTGAACACAATTTACCTAACTACAACCTGTGTATTTATGTGATATTTGCTAAATGAGTCCTGCAAAAGAACAAAATCCTGCAGAGAAAAGAAGCACAAGTCCAGATATTCATGTTAGTTGCTATATAAAGGTAGCCAACACTGACAGATATGACAAGCAGTGGTGGGTTCCGGATCCCATTGCAACTAGTACGGTGCAACGGGGCCGGGTGTCCACCACGTGCACGTGCGCAGCACGCACATGAGTACTTACTGCCTGCGATGCTCCACCTGCTTGGCGGAGCATCGCGCAGGCACCATAAGCTCCATGCGCGTAAGCCCCTATTGGCTCAATACAGGTAAGGAGGACGGGCGGGCTCTCAGGAGCACTGTACTGGAACAGTACCTGGTGCTCCCAGCAGGCACTGGTATGCCTGTACCGGGACGTACCGGTCGTATCCCGCCACTGATGACAAGCAATATTTTCTACATCCCGTAGATGCCTTAAATGCTGTTTACTAAACGTACTTATTTGCATCTGCAAAAGTAAATATTTATATTCCTAAGAGGTCTAATTTTATTAAAAACCAATGAAAACCACTCTCTCAAAAACTAGCTTAAGAAAAAAACAACATAATGACAATGAAGTTTTTTAAAAAAAACTATAGCATATAAATGTGACTGCAAAATGTGGTCTAGATGAGATTTGAAGAAAATAAGGAATCTGCAGGAAGAGAAAGGGATCTGTTCCATCACTTGTTTTGATCAGCATTAGATACAGCCNCCCTGAGTCCTTTGGGAGAAGGGCGGCATATTATAAATCCAACAAACCAAACCAAACCAAACATAAATTCTTATGTAAGAAGTTCCTTCTTGCCTTCCTGTTCACAACCTCCCAACGATCTTCCCTCTTTAGGAATTGTGCTGGCTGTCACTGAGCAGTTGTCTGAGAAATGTGATGGCACCCACTACCTGATCATTTGATCATGAGTCAACTGCAGCTTCATGTGCTTAGCAAGCAAGCAGGCACACGGCCTACATAGCCAACCATCTCATAAACGCTCTGTGATTGCCTACTCAGTAGCCTGCCCACCGACCAGCTGCAAAACCCCACTTGTTGCTGAATGCTATCTCAATTTCCCACTGTAGATCAAAGGGGGGGAAAGACCATCAGAGGTTTACTTTTACAGGCCAAAAGATCCCTCCTCTATGAGGGATTGTGGGTGACGAGGCCCTGAAATTTCCAGGAGTACTGTAGAATGTAGAGTACTAATAGTACTAGCCGCTTCCGGTAATAGTAGTGGCTAGATCCTCTCCTACAATAGCAATAGCAATAGCAATAGCAATAGCAATAGCAATAGCAGTTAGACTTATATACCGCGTCATAGGGCTTTCAGCCCTCTCTAAGCGGTTTACAGAGTCAGCATATTGCCCCCAACAACAATCCGGGTCCTCATTTTACCCACCTCGGAAGGATAGAAGGCTGAGTCAACCCTGAGCTGGTGAGATTTGAACAGCCGAACTGCAGAACTAGCAGTCAGCTGAAGTAGTCTGCAGTGCTGCATTTAACCACTGCGCCACCTCGGACTAAGTCCTTAGTCCTCATGGACTAAGGGGTCCATGAACCATATCAGTCCAAGGCTAAAGGGAAGAACCAGGTTTTAAGAGCTCATTCAAATAGGGCCCATTCAAATCTCCGGAGGGACATTGTTCCAGATGGCAGGTCTGGCTCCTGAGAAGGCCTGATTTCTGGATCTCACTAGGTGATTTTATCAATGGCACCTGAAGCATGGTGACTCTCCCAAATTATAGGAAATATAGGGCAGGCTGGAGCTATGGAAATCAGATGATCCTTCATATCCAGGCCATATGCCATGAGAAGCTTTATATATGATCTATGTAAATTGCAGTTGGATGCCCACTGACATTCTGTACAGTCTCACAAAGCAATATGTTGCATGAACATATGATGACTAAAACTACCAATGTGGCTGTATTCTGGAAGATCTGTAACTTTTGAGAGGTATTCAAAAGCTTCCCACATAGAACACATTGCAGTAGTTCAACATGCAAAGTGACCAAAACGTGTACAACTGTTCTAGGTATGAGACAATTGATGCACTAAAAATCTATGGAGATTCTCAATCATCCAGATTATAGATGCTTTTCAAAAGACAACTGGACTTTCTTGTTTTTTGTTTTTCTTTGAAAACATTTTGCTTTTCATCCAAGAATTGAATAAGCTAATTGGAGGAGAAGCAAAATGTTTTTCAAAGGAAAAACAAAAAACAAAAAAATAAGAAAGGCCAACTACCTTTTGAAAAGCACCTTTGAGACAATTGTTACACTAGATAAATTTGTGCAAGGCATCCCTATCAGATGGCTGTTGGAATTCTCTTTATGCTGGAAACCTGCCCAATGTAGGTGGGTGAGAATTCAATTGAAATCATTTAAAAAAAAAAAAGAGTTGGTCAAAATTAGCAACATTCTTCACTTACTGAATGGAGATGTGTCTCTGCTCACTGCTTGCTTCCATTTCTCAACTTCACCACTATTACTAGTCTGAAAATGCTACTTTTATGTATGGCCCCCATTCCCTAGGTATAGTATTTCCCTGTTTTCTATTTGTGGTCAGCATTGTGTAATAATGGGGTAGGATAGGAAGGATGTCCAGTTCGGGAGGAGGAATGCAAGAAAATGGGTGGATGTGGTCCAATGACAATGACTTTGCTTGCTTGTGCTTTTCTTCCAGAAGACACCAATGCTTGTCACATACTATAAATTGAAATAACTAACCCTTAGACCAGAACCTAACTTCAGAGCCTTAGTTGGTATGTAAAAATATTCCATTTAAAATCAGCAGTAAAGCTAACATGAAAGTGCCAATAAATAATATATGCAAAGCATGTTTTTTTATCAATATATAAAGAAAATGTGTAGTTATGAAGCTGCTGAAAACAAGCATTAGGAGATGTAATGAAGCAGGAATTAGAACAGCACAGGTCCTCTGGCCATTATAAATGAGAACACCAGGTACCTTGAGAACAGGAAAACTGATGAGTACAGTCTGTTCAGGAGAGAAGGAGGGAAATTTCCCCCAGGAACACATTTCAAATTACTTATTTATGAACTGATGAACTGGGAGACCACCTATAGAGAGACAGGAGCAAGCAGCCTGCCGCAGACAGCTACACAACTCCCAACTAATTGTGCTGCTGTTGCCTGTTAAAACTCCTGCTCTCCAGCTGGGCTTTGGAGGCACAGAACCTAGGCATCAAGTCAAAGTCACAGTTTTCATTCTCTCTGGGACAAATATATATATATATATATATATATATATATATACATGCAAATTTTAATCTGGCAGAT